GCCGCCGTCGCCATCCCCCGCCGACCTGAGGGCTTGGCGCCTGAGGGGCCTCAGTGGTGCGGCTGCGACGCGCGGGGCTTGGGGTCTCGAGGCCTGCGCTGTCGAGCGCACCGGGCCCGGGGGCTGCGGATCGCCTGCGTGACCTTGGAGTGTGCCGGGGGGCGGCCATCGCCGCGCCGGGTGGTCCCATTCGCGGGGTACCGGGGCGGACGGCCGGTTTCCTCCGGCACGGCCCACTTGCGGGCTTCCCACTAGGACAGTGCATCCCTCCGTTCCGTCACCCACGCATCACTTCATTCATTCGGTGTTCATGTCTGGAACCAGCGATCTCTGACGGAAACTAGCGTTCCTCGGGAAGGGGGACGGTCCTGGACGCGCCGACCCCCCGGCGGGGGCGGCTTTGTTGGCCGCTGGTGTCTGGTCTGGTGCAGGCCCCGGCGGATCCCCAGTGCTGTGGAACCAGGGAAGAGCAGCGAAAGGCTTGTGTTTTCTGGCCTGAATCTGGTAGTGGAGTCTCAGGGTTTCTCATGGACGTCTGGCTCACCAAGGCACGTGGTTTATGAGACTTAAACCTAAAGTGTGATTATTTGTACCTCATACGTCTCTAAATGTATCAGAATCTGATACATACTTGTATGACTTCTCTTATCAACATATGAACTTATTTTCCTGAGCCATGATAAAGTTGCTGAAAGAACTGAATTTCATGTAAATACTAGCAATTCTTGTAGCAACTTTTTTCCTTCCAGTAAGCAAGAGCAGGTATTTCCCAACTAGTAGAAACTCTTAAGGGTTGCTTTTTTACTTTAAGGGTAACACTCTTAAGGTTCTCCTGGACCCATCTTCACACAGTAGGTGTCATTATCTGCATTTTACAGATGAGGAAGCTGAGGCTCAAAGAGATGACCAATTTCTCCCAGGCCACTAGGCAAGTGGTGGGCACGTTTTAGGAGCCTCAGTCAGTGTCTGTGCACAGACCTGATTGATGTTTGTGAATTGGGGTGTGTGTGTGCCGAAATCCAGTGTCTCGCACACTCACGCCATGATTCTTTGGAGTTGGATGTAAATGCAAACATTTCCTAGTGTGAAAGGCTGTAGGCTTAACATCTTGGTTTGAGATGAGGCTTGTCCATGTTTTCTTTTTTTTTTTTTTTTTTTTTTTTAAAGATGACCGG